GGCTAATGATAAATATTACAAAGCCTGCCATTTGAAATAAATATACTTTGATGGGCTATTACGATTAAAGCTTATTTTACTACTACCAGAGTGGTAAACTTTATGTTGCAGAATGATTTTAAATCCAGCTGAGTAAACCTTGATTAACCATTCCATTTAGAGTTTGACAACTCGATAGCAAAAGAATTGAAGGGATTTCATAATAGTCATGTACTGTAGAATTGTTGGAAGATGATTGGGAGTCCTTTAACGGTCGGTAAATTGGCTAGAGTACAAAATGAGATAAAAGTACTAAGGTTGCAGGGAAGTGTGAGAACTCCGCTTTTAACAATTAACTTTAATTTAGGAAACATTTTATTTTATGCGAATAAAACCAGAACTGAAACACAAAAACCGACTAAGTCCCCTATTTTGCGCTTACTACTTGAATAGTGTCGCGAAAGCAGAAATTGATAAATGTGTTAATGGTAAGCAAAAGTAGTCTATATTTTGCAATGAATTTTTAATTTATCTGCCGATATCAAACAATCCAACTCTTACTCAAAAAGTCTTTATTACGTGATTAATAAGTTACACGACGTGCATTGGTTGGAAACCATCTCAAATAATCGGACTTAACAGGTTCTACCTGCATTAGATGATGTCTCATAAAAAACGAAATTCTCAGGTCGCAAATATAGTAATAGGATGGACACTTTGACCACCTAAAGTAGTTCCTGAATTCCACGCTTGTTCGCTTTTGGTAGGAGAACCAATGTGTCAATGGTAGCACTGAATGATGAACATTGGAGTGATTATAATACAGATGATGGGTGTGACACCGCATTGTAGAACTCCTCTCCTATGTAGAGATACATGAAATACAAGACAAAGAAGGGGTTTGATTAATGACAAAGTAGAGGGAGGGGAGGGGGGGGAGGTGGGGTGGGGTGGTGACGACCTTGAAGGTCAGTGAATGGGTACGTTATGAATGGGCTTGTAAGAGGGCGTAAATGACTGCTTTTCAATTCCATAAAAGAAATAAATAAAATAAGGAATTATGATATAGATGTTATTAAATGTGTTGGCACATAGCTTGAAGTATATTTCAAGGGAAATTTGGACTTATTTCTTGTTCCCTTTATTTCATGACCTATTTAAGTTGAAATTTAGTAAAGAAAGCATTTTTTAGCCCTTTTATGTCAACGACAGTGAAATTGTGACGCAGGACCATTGGAAATGCGATGCCCATTTTTAATACCAACGTGATAAAATGGCGTTGCGCAAGTTTTGAAACAGCAATTGCATAAACACATTACATTAGCTTGATTAGCTAGTCAATTGAATGTCAGTTTCTACTATGAGAGGTTGAACAATAATGTCGGTCTTCTGAATGAGGGAAATTATTGTCGAATACATTATAAAGGTGAGTATACCTTTAACGATGCAGATTAAATCCGAATTAGGTCATTCATCAGTCATAGTGACTTGCGCCAATTTAGAGGGAATGCTGAAGTAATTTGAGATGCGTCCAAAACCAGAAGAAACGAATCCGACGCCTGTCGATGAGGTCAATAAGCTGAATTCGAGTGCACCTCTTTAGTTAGACTATTAATCAGAATTCGAGTTTCACATCAAGGAATGGGGGAGGGGGAGTTATACGATTCCAACCCTTCTTTCAATAATTATTTATATCAAACGGCAGACTTTATGACAGCTATCATTAGTCCTTTAGTTGATTTCGGGCTTCACAGTGAGGAGGAGCATCAAAGTGAGAAAAAGTGGTGAGGGGGAATAGAAGAGTGATTCACAGATGTAAAAGAGTCGATAGACATAAAGTTGGAGAAAAAGGCAAGGTGAGTACTGGGGAAGTGATCGAATATGACATGTGGTGAGGTCATGGTGG